AATCTGATCCACATAAAACTAATAAATAATTGTTATCACCCTTTAAAATACGCTCTCCCAAATTTAATCGGTGACAATACAAATAATGATTAATTATGTGTCACGTTTCTAGATGTAAATATTGGTGTGCTACACAAGACATTGTATGTGATTACAAAGTAAATTGTTACACTACCACTAATAATTATGATGATGATGAAGTTTCTGCTAACAATCCTGTTCATGTCACCACCAACAATAATAACAATCAAAAACGTCTTGTCACAGCCAAGAATCATGATGATCATATTAATGATCCCAATCACAATCATAATAATTCAAAACATCTCACCATCAGCAACAATAATGTAATCATAAAGAACATCTTGCTACCACTACCACTATTAATTATGATGATGATGACATTTACAAAGTTGCTGTTAACAATCCTGTTCATGTCACCACCAACATCAAAAACATCTTGCCACAGCCAAGAATCATAGTGATCTTGATGATGATACTGATAATGAGAGTCCTATTAGCAATCACAATCATAATCATAATAATTCAAAACATCTTGCTACCACTACCACTAATAATTATGTTCATGCCACCACCAACAATAATAACATCTTGCCACAGCCAAAGATCTTGATGATCTTGATGATACTGATAATGAGGGTCCTACTAACAATCCCAATCACAATCACAATCATAAACGTCTCACCATCAGCAAAATAGTAATTATCCCTTAAACAGTTAATTGGCTATTGATAGCTGATAAAATTTTTCTGATATAAAAAATTTTTTCTGAGGGCACCACTTTCTAATATGAAAATGATCTTTGAGATTCAGCCGATTAATCTATAAATAAAAATCCAGTTGTTGTCCCTGTGGTTTTTGTAAAATCCTCTTTAAAAGTTGGTCGATTGACTGTTTTTACTTTGCTGATTGTTAAATTGACCAATAAGAATGATCAAAATTTTAATTTGCTTTACCATTAAAGAATACTCTGACTGTTTAAGAGATAAAAATGCAACTTCTAACGAATTCAAAGACCCCCTCCACTACAATAAATTCATTCCAATTGCATTCTCTATTCAAAAACATCAGGAAAATAAATCTCATGTAAACTTACGTAGGGTTTAAAACTGACCAGCATTATGCGGAAATGTTAACAGAATTACCAAAATATCAACATAATGCTGGCCAATTCT